GCAGCAGCAGCAGCAGCAGCAGCAGCAGCAAGCCTGTGTACTCGTTCCGCAGCAGGTCAAACTCCCACCACTTGATAACCAACGCCTTGGCAGCAGCAGCAGCAAAGCAGCAGCAGCTAAGGGCCGGCAGCAGGAGGCAGCAAAGGGGTTTGGGGGCCCCCCGGGGGGGTCCCCCAGAAGCAGCTTTTGACGCGCTGCAGCGGCAGCAGCAGCAAGAAGCAGAAAAAGTCCGAATTAATTTCTTTTCTTTTGTGTCTCTTCTTCTGCACCTTCTTTATCCTTTTTTAATTCTCTTTTTCTTTTTTTCTTTTTATTATTTGTTTATTTATTTATTTTTTTAATTTTTTATTTTTCATTTTTTTATTTGCTGCAGTACATTCGGGCCTTTGCTAAAGAGTTCCTCGATGGCCGTTTGGTCCCCTACACCAACAGCGAGCCCATTCCCCCAGCTAGCCAAAACACAGGTGAGCTATCTATCTATCTATCTATCTATCTAGCTAGCTAGCTAGCTAGCTAGCCAGCTGGCTAGTTGGCTAGTAAGCTAGTAAGCTAGTTAGCAAGTTAGCTAGGCGGCTAGCTAGCTAGTTAGCTAGCTGGCTAGTTAGCTAGGTAGATAGCTGGCTCTCGGGCTATCTGGCTAGCTAGCCGGCTGGCTAGCTGCTAGCGAGAGAGCCAAATAGCTAGCTAGCTAGCAGCCAGACGACAGCTAGCCATTGTGCTAGCCACAAGTTAGCTACTGGCTAGCTAGGTAGCAGCAAGCCAGGCAGCTAGCTAGCAATGAGCTAGCAGCTAGCTAGCTAGCTAGCTTTCTAGGTATCTAGCTAGCTAGCTAGCTGGCTAGCTGCTAGCGCTTGAACTATCTCGCAGCTAGCCAAAAGCTAAGCAGCAGCAGCTAGACAAACAGCCACCTTAGTAGCTAGCTAGGTAGCTAGCTATGTAGTCTTTCAGGTAGCTAGACAGGCAGCTAGGTAGCTAGCTAGCTAGGCCAATAAACTCTAACTAAGCAGCTAACTAAACGGCTAGCTGAATAGCTAGCTGAACAGCTAGCTGGGCAGCTAGCTGCTTGGCTAGCCGCTGCTGGTGGCATTTCTGAGCCTCCAGCTCCCCACTTGTGCGCATTTGAAACCCTAACCCCCAAACCCTAAACCTGGACCCTAAACCCTAAACCCTAAACCCTAAACCCTAAACCCTAAACCCTACCTATTTATTTATTTACTTAAACCCTCAGGCCCCGTCAAAACCATCGTGGGCCTGACTTTCCAAGCTGAAGTCATCGACTCCCCACACGACGTCTTCATAGCCTTCGGCGCCCCCTGGCAAGTCCCAAACCCTAAACCCCAAACCCTAAACCCTAAACGCTAAACCCTAAACCTAAAACCCTTGATCCTAAACCCTGAGCCTAAACAGTGATTCCTGAACCCTGAATCTAAACCCCAGGCACTAGCCGTGAACTACAAACCCTAACGCCTAAGCCCTTTTCCGCCCTAAACCCTAAACCCTAAACCCTAAACCCTAAACCCTAAACCCTAAACCCTCGGGCCTTCAGGTGCGGGCACTGCCGCAAAATGGAACCTGCATTTAAACGCGTCGCCGAAATTGTGGGGAGAAGATCTTCTTTAGTTTTGGCCAAAATCGACGCCACACTCAACGAAATCGACGGAATCAACCTTTCAGGTCTGCTGTTGCTGCTGCTGCTGCTGCTGCTGCTGCCGCTGTGGATGAGGATGGTAAGCTGCTGCTGCTGACGATGATGATGATGAGCTGCTGCTGCTGCTGCTGCCTTTGTTGCTGCTACTGCTGCTGCTGCTGTGGATGAGGATGGTAAGCTGCTGCTGCTGACGATGATGATGATGAGCTGCTGCTGCTGCTGCTGCTGCCAGGCTACCCCACTTTGCTGCTGTTCCGTGCGGGCTCGAAGCAGCAGCCGTTGCAGTACGATGGCGACCGCAGCGCAGCAGACATGCTGCAGTGGCTTTCTAGGAATGCACAGCACAGCCAGCTGCAGCTGCAGCAGCTGCAGCAGGACCTGCAACAGCTAGCTAGCGGCAGAGCCCTAGACCAACTTGGCCAGCTAGCCAAGCGCACGGAAACCAGTGTCCTTGAGGAGTTGTAGCAGCAGCAAACAGCAGCAGCAGCGCGATCCTGCTGCTGCTGCAGCTGCTGCTGCTGCATTTGTGAACAGCAGTAGCTAAGGCTCTGCGGTGGCTGAATGAATGAGCTGTTTAAATTACTGCTGCAGCAGGAGCTGCAGCAGATCGTGTGTGTGCTGCAGTTGCAATTGCTACTGCAGCAACAGCTTCCGTAGCAGTTGCTGCTGAAATAACAGCTGCTGTCTGCTGCAGCAGCAACTGCGGCAGCAGGCATTGTTGCTGCCGCAGCAAATATTGCTGCTGCAGCTAACACTGCCTCATCAAGCGTTTCTCCAGTGACTGCTAGAGAAGTCCTTAATGCAGCAGCTGCTGCAGCAGCAGCTGCTGCTGCAGCAGCTGCTGCTGCAGCACATGCTGCTAAGGCTAAAATGACACAGCTGCAGCGAAAGATTCTGTGGCTGGCACTGCACTTGCTGCTAGTGCTGCTGGTGCTACCGCTGCGGCAGTTGCTGCTGCATTCGCTGCTGCTGCGGCTGCTGCTGCTCCCTGCAGCAGAGTCCTTCGCCTGCAGACATCCTGTAGCCTGCCAGTGGGGCCCAGAAGAACATTTGGCCAAAGAAAGAGGCAATGAGACACTAGCAGCAGCAGCAACAACAACAGCAGCAGCAGCAGCACGTGCAGCTGCTCCGTCTTCTTCTGACACAGCAATCTAGTCACACAACTAGCTATCTAGCTAGCTATCTAGCCATCTAGCTAGCTAGCTAGATAGCTAGCTCTGTGGCTAAGTTGCTGGTTAGCTGGGGGGCTATGTACACGCACCCCGCCTTGGAATGGCCAGCTAGCCAGCAATGCTTCGAGCTGTGTAGCTGCCTAGCTAGCTACCTAGCTAGCCAGCTAGGTACGTACGTAGATAACAAGCTAGCTAGCTAGATAGCTAGTCAGGTAGCTAGCTAGCTAGCTAGCTATTTAGCTAGCTATTTAGCTAGCTGCGTTGCTAGCTAGCTAGCTACGCTCCTCGGCGAGTGGCGTCGTGCGCATAAAGCGTCCCAAACCACCGCAATTCATACCCCTAGGGTTTAGGGTTTAGGGTTTAGGGTTTTGGCTTCTAAGGGCCCTGGTGGTTTCAACGGCTAGCTAGAGGAGTGCCCACGAGACCCAAGCCTCAAACCCTAAACCTTAGGCCCTGGGGCCTTTGGGGGCCCCGGGGCCCTGGGGCCCCGGGGCTTTGGGGCCCCCGGGGCCCCTGGGGCTCCCGGGGGCCCCTAGGGGACCTGAAGCCCGCAGAATGCCCTGGGAACTTATGGGGGTTCGGAAGCCCCTAAGGGCCTCTGGGGGCCCCTAAGGGCTCTTGGGGGCCCCTGAGGGCCCCCGGGGGCCCTCTAGAGGTCCCTAAGTTCCCGTGGAGCCCCTGGAGCGTGGGGCCCCTAGGGCACCCCTGATGGGGCTTTTTTGGGGCCCCAGGGTACAGCAAAAGCAACACAACCCTGGGGCCCCCAAAGCCCCGCAGGGCCTCCAGAGGCCTCCGAGGCCTTTTGGGGCCCCCCAGGTTCCCTGAGGGCCCCCGAGAGCTTTTAGGGTCCCATAGAAACACGAAGGCCAAGGGTGGGGGCCCCACAGAGGCCTTGAAGGCTCTCTGGGGGGCCCCAGGGGCCCCCAAGGATACTAAAGCTTCCCGGGGACTTCGAGAGCTTCCCGGAGTTTTAGAGACCCCCGAAGACCCCTAGAAACTTTGAAACCCCCAGGGCCCCGCAGGGCCCCCAGGACCCTTGGAGACTTCCCAGGGCCTCCGGGGGCCCCCAGTACCCATTCAGAGACCCCCAAAACCCCCAAAACCTCCAGAGTGCCCCAAGGGGGACCCCAGTTGGGCCCCTAGAGGTCCCCAAGTGG